CTTTTTTCTTTTTTATTCTGGGCCAGCTTTAGCTCTGAGGTCTTGGCTGCTGAAAACAGGTTTCTGGCCTTTGTTTACCGTCTGTATTTGATACAGTGTTGTGGTCTGGCTGGCTGAAGCCCCGCTGAGTAAAGCAGGTTTCTGGGGTTTTTTTAGCTTCTATATTTGCAACATAGTTACTTAGAGTTGCAGCTGAGTGGCCGGCAAGTCAGGTGGGGAACGCTGGAGTCCTTCATCACTGAAGCAAGCAAGCCTCCCTGTTCGCATCAGCTGCCTGGCTGCCGGCCGCCATCTTGGCTGCCAGTTAATTTGCATATCTCACTGATTAGCCAATGGGAAGGGTAGCGGTCGTACTCCAATTACCATGTTTCTCTTTTATTAGTGTAGATACGTATATGTAAAGTGTTATTACACTTGTTTTGCAGAATGTTAACATTGAGGGGAACTGAGCCAAATGTATATAGAATATATTATGTCGTACAGCTGCACACGAATCTACAACTATCTCAATAAAAAATTAAATTAAAAATGCTATTTACATTAGTATCAACTATATTAAATACATAGGCATAAATAAATACATAGACAAAAAATGTTCAAGATATGTATACAGAAAATTACAATGGATTGTTAAATGTAATGCAGGCATGCCAAAATAAATGGAGAGATAAATTTTGTTTATGGACTGGAAGTCTGAATATTATTAAAATTTCAATTCTCCTTAAAATTAATTAGGAGAATTAACATGTCCTAATGGGTTTTTTTCCACCAATAAATTGACAAGGACCTATAATCAAGAACTGAAAAAGAAGATCAAATTGAAAGACTGTCACTGTCTGACAACAAGACTTATTATAATGCCTCAGTATTTAAGACAGTGTTTTATTGGTGACAACATGGACAAATAATTCACTGGAACAGAAGAGAGTACAGTAATAGACTGTCACATATATGAATATCTTAATTTTTAATAAAAGTGCAAGAATAACACAGTGGAGAAAAGACAGTCTTTTCAACAAATGGTGCTGGAAAAGTCAGATACTCAAATGCCCCCCAAAGTGAATTTTGATTGAACTCATTTGAAAAAGTGACCTTTGTAGATGAACTTCATCATATATAAAAATATATGCAAAATGGGATTATAATAAAACTTCTTAAAGAAAGCACAGGAAAAAGTCTTTGTGATCTTGTGTTAGGCAAAGACTTCTTAACTATGACACCAAAAACATCTATATATATATAAAACCCTAATATGCAAATAGACCGAACAGCAGAACAACTGAACTACTGGCCACTATGATGTGTGTTGACCAACAGGAAGTGCACGCGGAACATGGTGGGCATTGGCAGCAGGTGGCAGGGCGTGGAATATGGCAGGCGTTGACCACGGTGGGATGGTGGGGCAGGTGAACGAGGGCACCAGACCAAGGCAGGGCTCCTACGCGCCACAGTCCTGCTCCAGTGCCACTGCCCACACCTGCTGCTGGCGCCGGAGCTGTCGCTCATACCTGCTGCTGGCATCTGGTGCCAGGCCCAATCACTTGACGCTGTCATTGGGTGCAAGTGACAGCTGCAGGCCCCAATCGCCCCTCAGGGCTTCTCTATCTCCCCCTGCTCCTGAGGGGTGATCGGTGCCAGCAGCCACTTCTTGCACCCACTGCTGTCACCGGCCCCACTCGCACCCGCTGCTGGAGCCAGCCCCAAAAGCTCCGCGCCATCAGTGGGTGCAAGCGGGGCCGGCGCCATCAGCACGTGGGAGCGATGGCAGTGGGAGCGGGGCTGCCAGCAGAGGACTGGGGGCCATGGCGGGAGGGGCCGGGCAGAGGCGGGGAGGATGTACCGAAACCCACCCCTGTGCCCACCGCAGCCTTGCGGCCCACAGTTTCTTTCAAGGTTCACAAATTCGTGCACTGGGCCCCTAGTACTATATAAAATTAAAAATTTGATAATTAGACTTCAGTACAATTGAAAACTTTTTTTCTTCAAAAGACACAGGAAAATAAAAAGCAACAGATTGAAAGAAAATATTTGCATAGTATATATTTGATGAATGCCTTTTATTCAGAAGATATCTGATAAAGGACTTTTATTTCAGATTATAAAGAACTCTCAAAACTCAATTTTAAAAAAAAAGCAGTGATATTTCTAAAAATAGAAAATATTTGAACAGCCTTTTTCTAAACTAATGTCAATCAATGTCAGAAGATGCTCAACATCATTAGCCATTAGAGAAATGTAAATAAAAAATCACCACAAGATTCTTTTACACACATACCATAATAACTACAAATTACAAGACCAAAAGCTGTGGAAGAGTTAGGACTGTCATACACTGCTGATGGGAATATAAAGTTGTACAACTATTTTGAAAGACTGGCTGTTCCCTAAGACATTTTACACTTGGCATATGACCCAAGGAACCCACTTTCAGGTTTTTATCCAAGAGAAAAGAAAGCATATGCCCATATAATGACTTAATATATGGAGGTTTATAGAAGCTTTCTTTGTAATAGCTAAAAACTGGAAGCACCCAAATGTTCATTAACAGATGAATGGATAAATAAATTGTGGTGTGTTTATATACAATAGGATATTACTCAGCAATAAAAAGTATTGACCTTTTGATGCACAGGCAACAACAGGCGTGAATCTCAAAATAATTATACTTTGTGAATAAAATTTTAGCAGTAGAAAGCATATGAGCTGTTGGCTTGGGATTTGGTGAAAGAGAAGGATTACAAAGGTGTAGGAGGAAACTTGGGGATGATGAATATGTTCACTATCTTGATTTAATGGTGATTATATGTCTATAAACTTATCGAAGTATAAACTTTAATAAGTGCAGTTTATTGTATGTTAATTAGTCCTCAATAAAGCTACTAAAGATGTTATAACATATACACTAAAGATTTTTAGTGGTTGTGAATATGATTTCTTTAGCTTTGTAATTCATTCTTTAAGAATTACATGCATTGGATTGTGACAACATGCAGTGAGTGTACTGGTTGGTACATTCATCCTAATCTATAAAAAGCCAGGGGCCATCACAACCAAAACAACCAGACGGACGACCGAACAGGCTGCATGGGTGACCAGGCGGGCAGGGGTGGCAGTTGGGGCCAACCAGGCCAGCGGGGGTGCAGTTGGGGGCAACCAGACCAGTGGGGGTGCAGTTGGGGGCAACCAGGCTAGCAGGTGGGGCAGTGAGGAATGACCAGGCCGGCGGGGAGAGCAGTTGTGGGCGACCAGGCCAGCAGAGGAAAGCAGTTGGGGGTGACCAGGCCAGCAGGGTGGGCAGTGAGGGGTGACCAGGCCGGCAGAGGCGGTTAGGGGTGATCAGGCTAGCAGGCAGGTGAGCCGTTAGGAGCCAGCGGTCCCAGATTGTGAGAGGGATGTCCGACTGCCAGTTTAGGCCCAGTCCCCGAGATCAGACCTAAACCAGCACACAGACATCCCCTGAGGGGTCCTGGATTGAAGAGGGTGCAGGCTGGGCTGAGGGGAACCCCCCCTCCATGCATGAATTTCATGCACCAGGCCTCTAGTGTTCATAATAATAGAGAAGAGAACTGTACTCATTAAAAGTATTAAGTAATAAGGTGTGTGTGTTTTTTAAGAATAAAACCCTATTTTTAAAATATAGTATTTTACACTATTCATTAATATTTTCTTCATATTCGGTTAAAAATAATTTAGAGACTTAAAATACCCTTAGTTCAAAGTATAACGTGTTTTAACTTTATTTCCTAAGTCCAACTCTCATGTATTTAAAAACTTGGTATTTTCAGTGAATGTTTAATGGTTATGTTTTCCTTTTGAATAGTATGCACTGGAAAGACTGAAGGTCCTGTGTGAAGAAGCTTTGTGTAGTAACCTCTCAGTGGAAAATGTTGCTGATACCCTTGTCCTTGCAGATTTGCACAGTGCAGAACAGTTGAAAGCACAAGCCATAGACTTTATTAATAGGTAAGCTATGCTTGTATTTCAGCAGCATGACACCTTCAGCGTTTGTCACCGAACTTTTTTAAGTGTGTTTAAATCTTCAATGCAGGTGCAGTGTACTTCGACAGCTTGGGTGTAAAGATGGGAAAAACTGGAACAGCAAGTAAGATGACATCAGTTTCTGACTCAAAGTTGATCTGCCTACATAGAATTAAGTGTTTGCATAGGCCTTTTGTTCAACTACAATAAGTAGGAATTGAGATATTATTTATATGGAGTAAACTGCTGGGTATTTAAAAAAAAATAAATTTGACTTAGTGGATTCTTAAGGCTATGCCCCCTTGTAGATCAGCTGCTAATGTGAACTGAGATGAATGCCCTAATTTCTGAAGCTCATATGCTCACTTAGTATGTAGTTGAGTCCAGGCATTTCAGTGGCAACTGGAGATCCTTTTCCTGTCCCTTCAGAAAGCATTTCTAAGAATATGGAAAATGTTCATTTTATTCTCTGAGGAATGTGCCCTTCATATTTGCCCTAAACGTCTTCACATTTGAATGCTAACCCATTGCTTCTTAGGTTAGCCAAGTACTTTGCATTGGATGCTTTATTAAGCCAGCTACCTAGTATTCTAAAAATGGGAGTAATTTGATCTTTACTTTTCCTGGTAAAACTGTTAGAGGTAGCATAGTTCTTATATCTTTTCTAAGACCAAGCTTTCTGAATATTAGAATTTATTCTTCTTCTTTGTTTTCTTCTCTCATTTTTAGGGAGAATTTTCTATTCTTTATAATCAAAATAAAAAAGGATAAAGAGTTGATAGGTTGAAAGTTGCATCTTTTGATTCGTTTTTGCTTGTAAACCCTTAAATTCCATTTTTGCAAGTTACCAAAAGTTGATATAATATGTCAAAAAAGACAAGTGGATAAAAGGAAGTCAGAGAAGTCAGTGTTAGAGACAATAAAATTAATGTTTTTTTTACTTAGTTATTTCCTATTGTTTTAATTTGTTTTGCTGTGTGTGAAGTTACCTGAATTCCTGTCAGTTCGTGAGTTATCTTTTTAGTTTATTGGTTTTTCTGAATATTGATCAGTGTGATAATATGTTATGGTATGTGATCTAGACAAAAATCAGTTTAAATTTAAAACATAATGTGTATGCACCAAATGACAATTTATGATCCTTTGTACTTAGCCACTTACAAGCTCTAGTTTTATTCTGTTAAGAAAATATTTTACATTTTTAACTTTTTCAATGTCAAAAAATATCAAGAGTATTTTAATATCCCCTGAAGAAGCTGTTGTATGTACAGACCTTCAGTAGATATTTGTTAAATAAGTGAAAATGTCAGGTATATTAAGAGATATCTGTGTGATTCTGAACAACTACAGTTGAAATTATAAACACAATGGTTACTCTGATGTCAGGCAAATAAGGTAGTTTTATTATTAGCTACTGTTTAGTTTAACAAACGTGTACCTCATATCTATTGTGACTCAAGCACCATGCTAATGTGCTGCCTTTAAAAACAGTTATGAGGAAAAGTCCCTATTCTTGAGAAATTGGTTTAATAAAAGAAATATATGAATATGTCATTTATATATAGATAGAAATGTATCTAATGAAAGAAACAAATATATGAATATATCATTCATATGTAGATGGAAATTTAATGAAAGACACAAATACATGAATATGTTATTTTTTATAATATGGTAAGCAGTGTGATAAAAGAAGGTATGTGCTGGGGAGGTTTAGGGATGGCTTACTGGAGATGACAGATGTGTCTTAAAATATGAAGAGGAATTAGAGGAACTAAAAAAGAAATAAGAGGCATTGCAGACAGAAAGGATAACTTAAAGTACAGAAACCTAAAGGCAGTAATTGAACATTCATTTTACGGGTATTTATATTTATTCAGTAAATACGGCCCAAGGCACTGTGCTCAATATCAAGAATATAATAGTGAACATGATAAATGTTTTCCCTGGCTTCCCAGAGTCTATGGTTTAGCAGGAGATAAATAGTAATTAAACAAGTATTTGAAGTAAAGTGTGATGATACGTAAAGTATAGCATACCCATCTGAGCATATTGCAAAGGAACCGAACCTAACCTAGGGGTCAGAGAAAGCCTTTTCAAGGAATTGTATAAATAAAGACCTAAAGCATTAGTAGGAGTTACCTTGATAAAGAAGAGGGAAGAGGTAGAAACGTGTATCTCAGAAAAAGGAAATCAGGTATACAAAGATTGGGTGAAAAGAAACAATAGTATAGAGTGAGAGAGAGAGGTTATGAGAAGAAGCTGAGCTAGAGAAAGCAGGCAGGGATAAGATCCTGGGAAGCCATCTAAATTAACTTTAAGGGCTTTTTAAGACATTACTCAAAGATTAATCCAGTAAAAGATTGCAGCCTGGGCCAGGCCCCGATCAGGTTTGTGTTTTTATTAATCATCAGAGTTTTGATTTTTGATTGAAAAGGAAAGGGTCTAGGACAGTGATGGTGAACCTATGACACGCGTGTCAGAGGTGACACGTGAACTCATTTTTTCGGTTGATTTTTCTTTGTTAAATGGCATTTAAATATATAAAACAAATATCAAAAATATAAATCTTCGTTTTACTGTGGTTGCAAATATCACAAACTTTCTATATGTAACACGGCACCAGAGTTAAGTTAGGGTTTTTCAAAATGCTGACACGCCGAGCTCAAAACGTTCGCCATCACTGGTCTAGGATGATACCCAGCGTTTCTGACTTGAATCACTGGATGATGGTAGAAGCATTAGCTGACTGGAAATAAGGGAGGAAGAATTTGAGGTTTGGGGAGATATGTTGAGTTCTTCTTATCTAACAATGCTGAGTTTATGGAACTTGAAATGCATCCAAGTAAAGAGAACAAGTTGTTGGGAATGAACCTTGTTAGGAGGCTTAGGATTTAGCAAATCAGTAGTTGTCATCATTGAATATGATAGCTAAAATTATGAAGAATGGATGAGATAGGATGAATAATGAATGTTAAAAGAGTAGAAGGCAAAAGTTGCAACTTGAGAAAAAACCTGAGTGTAAGCCAGGGAAAAGAGCTCTTGAAAGTTAAACTATGGGGACAAGTGTCACATGCTTCAGGAGAATAGAATTTCCAGAAAATTCGAATAGTTTCATTTGTTACAGAAATACTACTAAGATATTTTGTGAATGATATTTTAATGAATTCAAGTGGTTGGAATACATACAGAGGCAGTGTTCAAAACATTATGAAATCCATAAATTTTAAAAATTGACAATACAACAATGCATTTTGAAAAGTATTCTTTAACAAACATCTCTTAATTTTATTTTTCAGCCAAGCAACGGACATAATGGAAACATCAGGGTGGAAGTCCATGATTCAGTCTCACCCGCATTTAGTAGCAGAAGCCTTCCGAGCACTAGCATCTGCACAGTGTCCACAGTTTGGCATTCCACGCAAACGGCTAAAACAGTCCTGAAATCTTCCATGAACTGTAGAAAAATGGAATTGACTTTTATTCCTCCAGGTCCAGAAGGATTCTAATAGACAAACCATAAGCAAGAGTTGTTTCTGTTGTCTTGTCTACAGAGCAGAAGCTGAAAAAGCGTATGGCTTGCATTTCAGGTGGATAATTTATGGTTTATTCTTCAGCTTTAAATTAGACTGACTATACTCTAATTCACTTCAAGGCCTTAAATTATCTCCAGTGACTTCTCTTGTTCATATGATACTTTAATTTTTTTATTGTGCCTTGTCATTTTGACCAAGGCTATGCAGGATTGCACTAGCTCCATAATGCAGTAATATTGACAACTGAAGATATTAAGTTTCAAAAGGATCTTCCATTAGCTTCAGAAAAGCAAAATTAATTTTCTAGGATTTTTGCTATGCTGTCTCAAAGTTTAAGACTAGGTTCTTAAAAGCACTTGTATTGGAGATAACTGTTAATGTCTCCAGTCTGAGTTCTATAAATACAGGAGAACCTGCTTGCCTTCAAGGTAAGTTATGGCAATATACTGCTTCAGTTCTAATTTATTTTTCATTTCAGGGGCAATTATGTAATGAGTTGGCCCAGATTTTTAGTAGAATTTGGATGTTTATATGTTAACTGTCCAGAAAACTAAGAAGCATAACAAACCTTTGCTTGTGTTTCTTTGTGGGTTTATCCAAGTTTACAATTATTGAGAACTGATTGAGGATAAGATTTCAATAAGAAAGCATGTTTTGTGCTGAATTAATTTTTTTTTTAATTTATAGTGGCCTACATTTATATGAAGAATTCTGTACATGTTAAAAGTAAGGATGACCAAATGTAAATTTAATGAGTGGGCCAATTAAGAGAGAGATATATGCACTTTTAATGTGTAACTTTTGTATGCTGAATGGTACATATATTTTTTTGCTTTTGAGGGAATTAATAAGGTATAGTTAATTGTGTCTTAACTTTTGAAATAATTTTTTAAGACAGATGGAGGTAACTGGCTGTTTGTGATAATAGATAAGAAAGATATCCTTCATTATAGTTAAATTCGTTTCCATTTCAGTTAATCATTATTAAATTCACTCTTTTTTTTTTTATCACACATTGGAGAAGGCATCTGAACAATAAGTGAATCCTAGACGGCCTACTCTCCTAAAAACAACAAACTGATATTATTTGCAGACTGAAGTCTCTCCTTTTATGAAAACCCTCAGAAACTTGTCAGGCCACATTCTGAACCTTCCCCAACCCCTTGGTTTTTCCTTTCTGTTTCAGTTACTGTACTAACATTGTGGATGATACTGAAATTCTGCATAATGTGAACAGGATAAACTTTATAAACTGCTTTTCATGGGCCAGTTCTTTATTATAAATGAATTTCAGCTTTAAACACATACACATGCTCAGTGTTGGATAGCTCTGTTCACAGTGGAGGTCTGTTCTGCATCTGGTTTTCTGAAATAGGACAGCATGCTTCTTAGGCAAGATTGATGTTGGACCACAAGGGGAAAAGTGTGTCACTGGAAAAAAATGCACATACCTATATATTTGCATACATAACTATTCTCCAGATTAAAATTTGTATAATTTGTTTATTTAGTTTTTAATTTAGTACAAAAGGAAAATAATTAAGCCTGAGGTCTTAAAATAGGTTTTTTGTATTTCTTTGTTAGATACTCACTGAGCAATTCTAATACATCAAGAGTGATTCATATTTACATTGAACAACACTGTCAAATACACATTTGTTATCCATAGCAAACGAGTTTGAAAGACCTTATTTTTTCAGATATCTTCATTTTGCTCTTTGTAATTTCATTGAGTCTTTGTTATGTTAAGTTTTAAATTGGAAGAATACCTTGGGATAAAAGAAAGATTCTTAAATATTAGTGGACTCCATCAGTGCTATAGTGAGCAGAAATTCATTTGCTTAACTTCGCCATAAGATTGAATTAATTAAATTTGTAATGTACAATTAAAAAATACATGCTCACATACATATATACTAAGATTTTAATTTAAATTTTGCCTGGGTCTTATAAGAAAACAAAAACTCCTTCCTCGGGCTATAGAATTTTGTTGTCATATGTATAAAAAAAAAACACAAAAAAACGCTGGTGAACCCATGTATATCAAATGCACAGAGGCACATTGTGAATTAATTCACTGCTTGAATCTACATTTCTAACTATAGTGACTTCACCAATAACACCATATAATGAACATTTCAGATTTCCCTCACTTACTTGTTTTCATGTTTATTGCAAATCTTAAGGGTTTTATTATAAGTATTATTTTAGTTTGGTAGTACATTTTGTACCAAAAACGTCAAACACTGTGCTGTAAGAAGATCCATGTTTGTAGAAATGTCCACTTTTCAGATAATATAATGCCTACCTTTATACTAACAGAACCATATGGTAACTGATTTATTTTTTTTATTTATTACGTATATTTTTGGTATTGTGTGGGTTCTTGAGGCTGTGATAGAAAACTGTTAATGTGTTCTGAAATAAGTGCTCTAATAGCCTTTTTTGTTTTTAAAATTCATTGTTTTCAGGAGGCACAGATTCTGTCTAGAGCAGTCTTGCCTTTTGATTATCAGCCTGTTCCTGTTTCTCTTTTGTCACCTAAACAGAACTTTTCTTAAAAAGTAGTGACTGGTTTTAAACATTACATAAATACAAAAGTAACCATTGGAAAACTGTTCTTTAGATTCAGATAGGGAAACACTATATTTGTGCCTTTTTTGTTTTTGAATTTTAATGTGTATTGGTGTTTGGAGCACAAATATGAAGGTGCCATAATATTATGGCTGCCATTGTTACCTCCTTGAATATTCGTGTGTCATTGTCTTAAAATAGTAATTGGAGAACCTTGCATGTATTATGTGGTTATTTAGGCATCTGTGTGCACGTTTGCGTGCATGTGTGTGTGTGAGTGTACATGTACTTGTTTTCACTTGGACTTGTGTGTGATATATTCAAGAGTTAATTTCTAAAAATAGGACTCAGTTAAACATTGAAAGTTCAGGCTAGTTGAAATATACCATTTAAATGTGCTTTACCTGGGACAATTGATTGATAGAGGAAATTATAATTCTCAAAAATGTGACTAATTTACTGCATGACAAACAGTGCCTTTTTAGGACATCATTAATTCTAAAATTAAGTTTAAAATATTAACGATCTCTTAGAATGTTGTCATGAACATTATTGGCTTTTAAAAAACTATACCTAAGTTAGAGCTTAAATTGCCAAAAATATAATTACTAATTTACTTACCCATTTAAGTTTTGTGCATAAGTTTTAAAACCTAAGCAGAATTCTTTATAAAATTGTGAATCATAGATGCTACCCAGTGTTACTAAAATATTACACTGGGGATTTCAGTAAGTTGTTTTGTTAAACTCACAAGCTTTTTTCATAGCCAAGTATACTTTAAGTATTGAATTATTCCAAGTTGGACTTCCATGCTCTTTGGTGAATAAAATAAAAATATTCAATATATTCTTGCAAAATAAGGTGGGCGGGTGGGTTTAGTGTTTTCAGATGATAAAGACAGCACTTTCACACACAAATAAGAGTATTTTGCAAACCTCTTTTATACAGATTATGAGCTCTACTTTATTTAAGTGTTCATGGAATGATGTAAATTTTAGGTCCATTTGAATAAATATAGAGTGCCTACCATATGCAAGACTTCCTTTTCACTAGGAATTAAATCATCACACCGTGTTTTCTGCTTGCAGTATATGGACTTAATGTTTGAAAAGGAATTCTTATATTTAAATTTTTTTCTGTTGTTAGAGTTTATCATTGTATACTGTAACCCAGTTAATTGTGTATTCAGGTTTTTAGAATGAAGATAAAACTTAAGTGTGTCCCACTTTTGAAGATAAAATTCTGCTAAAATTATTTAAATATTAGTTCTGGGGGAAATTGATTTTCAAGTTTCAAATGTATAAAGACTTATATCGAACTTTTCAGCCTCATTTTTAATCAGCTCATGATGATGAGATACATTTGGTATCTTGTTGCTGAAAATATTTTTGGCATTTCAGCACTTTGTGTTAAAATAAAGTTGTTACTACTTATTCAGAATTGATTGGTCTATTTTGTGTTTACTTGAAAATATAAACTCTATTTTATCATGAAAACCATTGTTCCATGTATTTTATCTGTTTTTGGTTTTGTTTGGTTTTGGTTATTACAAGTGGGGGGATAAATCTAGTGCCTGTAACTCCATCTGGACAGTATATCTTTCCTTAATCAGAGGTAACAGGAAGGACTGTGAAATGGCACATTATCACTGTCATCCCTTAGTTATGATGAAGATGGGGAATTTGGCTCAGATCATATATATAAACGAATATCTATGTATTCGTTTCTCAGATCTTAACAAACAAACAAACATGAGGCAAACACTGATACCTCAAGTGGATTTCTTCTAAAGAAATAAGAAAATTTTACTGGAGAATACTCATTTATAGTGTGGAATGCTAGCCCAAGTTTTGTCCTGGCAGAGTTTACAAATTCAGATGTTAACAAAGGAACTGATAGAAGGGAAGTCACAGACCAGGTATAGTATGTGATGAACTAGGGCAGTGATGGCGAACCTTTTGAGCTCGGCGTGTCAGCATTTTGAAAAACCCTAACTTAACTCTGGTGCCGTGTCACATATAGAATTTTTTTGATATTTGCAAACATAGTAAAACAAAGATTTATATTTTTGATATTTATTTTATATATTTAAATGCCATTTAACAAAGAAAAATCAACCAAAAAAATGAGTTCGTGTGTCACCTCTGACACGCGTGTCATAGGTTCGCCATCACTGAACTAGTGAAATGGCAGTCAATGTGGTGGGCCTTGTCTAGTCATGCAGATTCAATACTATGACAGCAAATAAGAGGGCCCTAACTTTTAGTCCCAACTTAATGGCACTGTCTGTATCCTAAACTCCTACCTACCTCAACTGAAGCAGAGCATTGTATAATATTAATGATTAAAGTGGAATTATTAATGTTCATAAGTCCTTCAAAGAGGACCCATAATGCCCCAAAGGAAGATTAAGCAGAATGCAAAATCATAGATGAAGTGAGTCCAATTCTCCTGAAACAGTATCTTTTCTACAACCTTAGAGACGTGTATCCACAAAGTTAGCAATAGACACATGTAAAGGATAGTACATCTCTACCATCTTCCCAGCAAAAGAAGCCCATCACTACAACCTGCTTCTGTTTTGCAATATGCTTTGGTCAATATTTTCTTGCTCTTTTTTTTTTTTAATATATTTTATTGAGTTTTTACAGAGAGGAAAGGAGAGAGAGAGAGAGTTAGAAACATCGATGAGAGAGAAACATCGACCAGCCGCCTCCTGCACACTCCCCACTGGGGATGTGCCCGCAACCAAGGCACATGCCCTTGACCGGAATCGAACCTGGGACCTTTCAGTCCGCAGGCCGACGCTCTATCCACTGAGCTAAACCGGTTTCGGCTCTTGCTCTTTTTTAAAAAATTGAGTTTATTGGGTGACAGTGGTTAATATAATTATGGGTTTCCGGTGTATATATATAAAAGGCTAATATGCTAAGTGTCCCTCTGACTCTCCAACCAGTCACTATGACGTGCACTGACCATCAGGGGGCAGACACTCAACACAGGAGCTGCTGTGACTCGCACTGGCCATTTACAAACAAACGGCACCACAGACCTGGCGCCAACAAAGCAACATTCAGATTCCCTCCAGTGAGACATAGGCCCTGCCATCACCCCGGAGCAACACCCCACCAAATCGCAGCCAACACTGCCAACACCCCATGGCACAAAATGCAGCCCAGCCCTGCAACATTCACTGTGGGCACTGGGTAATGTCACATAACAATACCCAGCTTTTTCTCCCTAGTGAGTAGCCCCCTTGGAGTTTTTTCAGCCCAGGACATGACTTGCTTTATAGTCAGGTCCAAACATTTTACATTAACCAAATGTCTGTGAAGCGTTTTCCCGTGCCTCATCTCATTTGATCCTCACAGAAGTCCTGGAGTAAGTAGATAGGAGTCTCTGCAGAATCTTTTTTTTTTTCATTAGCCAGAAAATGGAGATTTAGAAAGTTTAGAAACTTGACCCAACTGAAAAGAAGAAATGGTGGACCTTGAAAATGACTTCAGGTTTTCTCACTGCGCAGAATATAGTCAAACACTGCTGCAGTTAAATATTTTACCCTTTGTTCTCCCTGTGTGATCTACAATAATAATCTGCTTAGTGTTGATATTTATTGCTGTATTGCTGATTATCTGAAAGAAAAGTTGTGGTGCTTCATTGGCCTGGAAAAAGTTTAAGTCAGAAAGCAGGTCTAAGTAAGCAAGTCTGTTCTATAGATATAAAGCACTACGTTGATTTGTGCATGTGCAATACATAGAAAACTCTGGCTGGTGCCATTCACACGTGTGTGTTACAATCTGTCGTTGATTGTGAATTTGGTTGACACTTCTATTATAGAGAAAGGGCAAATAGTGATATTAAAATATTCTAATTAATTTTCTTTCAATGTGCATGAATCCGTGCACCAGGCCACTAGTCCTATATAATAAAAGGGTAATATGCAAATTGACCAAATGGCAGAACGACCAGTCACTACGACACACACTGACCACCAGGGGGCAGACGCTCAATGCAGGAGCTGTCCCCTGGTGGTTAGTGCGCTTCCACAGGGGGAGCACTTCAGCCAGAAGCTGGGTTCATGGCTGGCAAGTGCAGCGGCGTGGTGGGAGCTTCTCCCGCCTCTGTGGCAGCGCTAAGGATGTCCGACTGCCAGCTTAATCTCACTCCCTGCAGGAAGACATCATCTCTATACTGTATTGTGTGTTCACCACTTAAAATCAAGTCTCCTTTCTTCACAATCTATCCCCACTTTACCCTCTTCTACCTCTCCCTGCCTCCCCCCCCCCCCCTCCCCCCGCTCCCCCCCCACTTTGATCAATATTCTCTTAAGCTAGTAAGAAAGCTAACGGACATCTGGAATGGGAAATTGGTCTTTGAAACCTGTTGATAAACTAAGCTAAAAAAAAGGCATGTTTGGAGAGCTGGGATCAATATTTTTTAAATAATAATTTTTAGGTTTTACATAGCTATAGTTTGGTTTCCAATGTTCTAGAAAGTCAATGGTACATATTAGGAATAGTAATAATATGCAATTTCCACTGATTATGACTTAGTCACAATGTTCATAAAATTCTGACTCCTGCTGTCACTCAAAAGTAGTCTATACAGGTACAGACCCAGAATATCTGAGTCATATTCTGAAATATATGCTCCTACTAATATTTAGTCTGAATTTCCTTGACATAAATGACATCAAAAGATATCAACATAATGATCAGGTATAAAGTATTAGTGTGGTTTTTTCGATACCTACCAAAAAAATCACAAAAGTATTCATTGTGTGAGGAAAGCCCATCTTGGTTGGGCAGTCCAACCACAATACTCAGCAGGCAGATTAGGCTCTTCAACATCACTTAATAGCACACATCATTACTGGCATAATAACCACTGACTTTCACTGGGTTTGTGGGTTCATGGATCTCTAAGAGGTTATGTTTATTACTGAACTGCATTTTTAAAAGATAGTTTCCAAAATATTCTTTTAAACCCAACTTTAAAAAAAAATTTAAAATGAGGTGCCATTTTTCCAAATAGGTTTGGTTAGATAGGTGTTTCTCAATCTGGGGTGCTTTAGCTCCTCCTTTCTCCCAGGGGACAGTTGGCAGTGTTTAGAAATGTTTTGGTTGTCAAACTGAGGAGGAGGGTGTTACTGGTATTGGCAGATTAAGGGAGAGATTCCACTAAACATTATACAATGTACAGGGTAGACCCATACAACAAAGGATTACCTAGTTTCAGACGTCACTAGAACTAAGATTGAGAAACCCTGTTTTAGATGAAGGCTATATGATGCTATTAAACCAGTATAAATTGCAAATGAGAAAAACGTTTGCTACTAACTTCTAATATTACATTTGTTCCAAGAAAAAGTAACTACTGTTAAACCTTGAGTCTCAAATGTTTCCCATCTGGAACAATTGAGTTCTGGGCCTGACAACCCTTTCATGCTCAAACAGCCTGAAAATAAGCATCTCTCAGGCCACAGAGGAGAGAACGTGCCAGTATGAATCATTTTACTGCTAAACATTGCATTATTACCTCAGGAAATTGTGCTGTGAATATTTTGTTTTGTTAATCCTCACCATTTATTTTTAGAGAGAGTGGAAGGGAAAGGGAGAGAGAGAGAAACATCGATGTGAGAGAAACACATTGAATGGTTGTCTCCCACACACACCTTGACCGGGTCCGGGGATAGAGCCTGCAACCCAGGTATGTGCCCTTTACAGGAATTGAACCCATGACCCTTCAGTCCTCAGGCCAATGCTCTAATCACTGAGAAAACCGGCTAGGACATGAATATTTTTATTTTTTGCATTTGTTGCTGGTGAAATGGACTATTAGTACAATTTTAAAATTTAAAGAGTCATTAAGAGTGTTATTGTTGCTAAGGGTGTGAAAGAAACAATGATCACAGGCAATTAAAGAGGGAGAGGAACTTGTTGATTTGGAGAAAGGAAAAGCTGCTGGTGACAGCATTTTGGAGGCAGTGATATGTGAAAAAGTGAAGATGCTGCATACTGACCTGAAAGACACCCCTGAAACAAGTGCTGAAAGTGATCTTTTTAAGGCTAGCAGGGGGTGGTTAGATAAATTTAAGAAAAGTATATAGATTAAACAGTACATTAGACATATCTATAATAATAAAAGGGTAATATATTCTGGACGAAGCTGGGGCCGGAGGGAAGCCCAGGTCCCAGGTGCCTGCTGGTGGCCAGAGGGAAGCCCGGGTCCCGGGTGCCAGAGGGAAGCTGATGCCGGCAGCCAGGGAAGGAAGGCCTACTCTTGCACGAATTTCGTGCATTTGACCTCTAGTGCTGTGTATAAGAAAGATTAAAACAATTATTTGGGGGTCTGGAGCAAATTAATTCAATTTACATTATTTCTAATGGGGGAAACGATTCTGTTTTCAAATAAATCACTTCTCAAACAGCTTTCCAGAACA